GTTTTTTGCTTTAAAAAAAACCAGACGAATGAACCATATCGATCAACAAATAAATTCACAAACTTAATAGCTGAATAAATCCACTTAATTACTTCAAATCTTCATGCAAATACACTCAACTATTCATACAGCAACACCAAATCTTAAACAAATACGCACTTAAACTGACACGGAAACCGGCGCAAAAACACACATATTCAAGGAACACTGTCGCTTGAGAACAAAACCCTCATTTCTCATTTCACCCTTTTTGAGGTCTTTCTATAGTTAACTTCTCATAAAGCCAAAATGTTTTGCACCGAAAAAACAATAAAAATAAAAGAGTAAAAAAAAAGAAAAAAAATAAAGACACTCATACGAAGGCTTGTTTGCATAAACTTTTCGATAAAACTCCACTGGAAACAATATTACCAATAAACCGAGTGAAAACATGTCCCCAACAATGACGCCCCTCCAACCCAGAATAAGCTTGCACACTAAGCCCACTACCACCAACAAAAACCACTCTTGGAAGCAGTCCAACAAAGGATGAATGCGCTCCGCAAAGACGACCAACAGCCCTCAAAATTGTCGATTGACCAGTTGTGTCACAGTCGATTGCGTTTGACGAACGACCAGCAGCTCCACGTCACTTTTAGGCGGATCCATCGCATCACTAATTAACGCTAACGTCATAGTTCCCTGGTAATAGTCTCGTACAGAACTGCCGTTAACAATACTTTTTTGCTTGAAGACTTCGAGGTTTGCACCATAAACCCTAATGAAAAAAAGAAGGAAACCTACAATTCTTTCTCCATCTTTGAGCAGTTTCAAATCAACTTTATTTTTTACATTCACACAAAATCTCACGGCACTTCTTTGAAAAATATAAACAAAAAACAAAAAAGACCACGTGATAAAATCAAATACCGTTCCTTATAAACAAAGGCACAAGCCATTGTTAGCATGACCTGCTCTTGAAAGTGAAAAAGATATCCAAGAATATATGTCATCAATTTCTAAGAATAAGTTTAATCACAATTTGTTCATCCCCCCTTTTTATTCATTTACTTTTTTACTACTAACACCTACTATACTACTAACAATATTACCAACACTTCTTTAATTGAAGCTGGCAACTCAGCAATAAAGCAAATACCACCTAGGACAAAAATAATTAAAGAAATGTTTAAAAAAAATGATTTACGTATAGAGGAAGATAAAATCGAGGAAAAAACTTCTGTAAACCTAACTTTACATTTAGACTGTATGTATCAACATCCAGGACCTCAAGAAAAAATGCAGCACAACGAATCCAAAATTTAAAAGTTTCAAAATCCAACGTTTGTCTAGAAATCTAATCCAGTGCTAACTGAAAAGAATTAGCAAAAATAGCACAAAAATAAACTACTAAAATTTTTTTATATTTTCTTCCCTTATTTTACAACTAATTACTAGGAATCAAAATGAAATTCAATTCAATTCTAAAAAGCAATGAGTACAGCTAAGCAAATAAATTATAATCGTTTACGCAGGTAAATATTGTAATATCAAAACAATAATTTATCTCCTCATATAATAATCAATGAGAGTAGAAAATGCTGCAAACCCGGCAGCACCAAAGAGAGCTGGTTTAACGCCTGCTCGTAACCCAAGCAAGCCACCTACAATTCCTCCAGAGTAGGTACCATTTTTCCAATCGCTCCGAGCTCTATAAGTCTCCAACAAACATTCTGTGCCAGCAAACAGTACACCAATCGAAGCAAAGTTTTTACCATAGGATTTCATCCTTCCTTTCATCTCAATCCACGTTTGTTTCAGGGTCAGCTGAAATGAAAGAAGAAGTTCACAATTTATAGAAGGCTTAGAACTTCACAATTAAAAGCCTTCACTCATTTACTACTAAAGCCTATTGAAGAAAAAACAATAGCATACGGGTTTGCTAGGATCTCCTCCAACCATAGACATCGACGGATCTACAGAAGCTGTAAACAGACCTAGGCCCACACCAAGAGCATAACCCAAGACCCCAGCAACAACAGATTTGAAAACGCAATTTTCCATCACTCGGCTCAACATCAATTCTTGAGGGCTCATCGGTGGAAGACTAAGTGTCTAAATTGAAAGTTTTCTTTTTAAAAGTACGATTCAAATCCAAGTGCAGACATAATACAAATTTTCCATCTTTTCAGTTTCTACCAAACTGATCAAATTACGCGACAGTAAATGACTATTAAGATCTAACAAACAATCAAGGGATCAAAATAACACAGTTCTTTCACCACCAAAATATACCTAAATTAAGAAAAGCGAAAGCCTACGAAATATGAAAGTAACTAAAATTACTTATGACCTGTTTCGGAATAGTTGGAGTTCGCCGGGGATTCCACGGTCTTGATTGCTGACCAATCATTTCGTCCATCAAGCGACAATAAGCGGATGGTTGATACACGAATTCATCCGGCTGAGCCTTCTGCGTCTCCTCTCTTTTTGGAGCAAAAGGATTACCAAATAGTTCGTCAAACCGAAAAGACCTATTTAGAGTCGTTTCCATTTCGATCTACAAATATATCCTAAAAAATAAAGCGCTCATGAAAAAGAAGAATTTGATTACAGCTGGAACCTAGCTCAAGTAAACTTCATTAAACAATGTACCCAAAAAATTACAAGCTAAAAACCTTTAAAAATTCGCAAAAAATTACAGTAACCAAATAAGTTTTCACTGTCAATTAGACGACCCTGGAGTTAAGCACCTAAAGAAAAATACTGTTCAACAACAAAAGAGAGTACGTCTCAGCGAGCAGATGTTTCCTTCGGCTCTTTTATACATTAAACTGCTTTCCAAGAACGCTTCGCACAGTTTCAGCGCCTAAAAAAGAAGTCATGGTTATATCACTGAGATCCTGGCACAAAAAGCTAGTTAAACAGACGCGCAACCATCATTCAAAAGAACAGTTAAATCTGTACTAGAAAATCTGATTCTACCTTATCAAAAAACCTCCGCCATACTAACAAGATAACCATCTAAAAACAGTACAGAGTAGGGAAAATAACTTCACTGACAGCTGCCGAGAAATATGTTGACTTAAGTTTGCAAGGTGTATTTACCTGGTTTGCTTTAAGGGCTCTGTGGGCTATTTCGGAGTCACACCGTGAGTTACATTCAAGGGTACATAATAATTCCTGCACTTTATTCAACTTTGATGTCCTTAATAAGTTAATTATCGGAATGTGATTCAGGAGCTGATTCTTCCTTTACTTTTCTATTCTTCTTTTTGAACACCACTAGGAAACGTAAAAAATTCAACATTCGGTACTTAACCACAACCGTGACAAATTCAAAAACACCAAAGTGATAAAAGATCTTCAATCTAATTTGAATACCAAGTGAAACGAATAAGTTGATTATGCAAAGACGCCTTACTTCCTTCTACAGATCACAAATTTCAAAAAAAATTAACCTGATTGTCTTCCTATAAAGCTTTACGTACTCTAAGTATGCACTGTTAGAATCTAACGTGAAAAAAATGCATGGCTTCCGGATAAAACAACGTTAACTTAGAAAAAAGCGCTATTGCGGGGCAAGTGCGTCCAACTTTAAACATGCTTTTTTTGACCGTCAACCTAACTTCTTTTTCTGTATAAAAGCTTCTTGGTACCGTTTTACATAGACTTGAATACGCAGCTTCTGCTAACCTTCTAACAGCCTAATGCTAAAAAGTTACTCTAACCGTTTTACCACCTCATAAGGACGTCTTCATGTCAGCGACCTGTGTAATCAGTAATGCATTCACTTTGTGACCGTGACTGTGGGGATGTGGGTGGTTAGAATCCATCCCCTGTGCAATCGCTCCAGCAACAGTTTTCCTACTTCTTGGCCATTCTTTAGACTGCTCAAAAATACCCACGTAGTCATAGTTTTTTGCTTGTTTATACAGAACTTCTCTACAAGCCGTGCGAGATGACCAGAGTTGTTTGGAATGCTTTGCGAAACACGTACTCATATATTTAAGTCCCAAAAAGATCCTTAACAGTTCCACTAATGATGCATTTTCAGATAACTTTTGAGTTATGCTTTTATTCTTATCTTTATTCTAATTTGTTAATATGCTTATTCCACCACCTTTTTGAATCTGAGATCTTTCAAAGAAAACAAAACTTTCATAGACCTCCTGGAAGTGACCAAAAAAAGCTAAAAAATATGTAACTAAAAAAAATCTACCATACGATCTCTAACTGAATTAAAGTGATTGAGTAGGTCGTTCTCAGAGCTTTCTAATGAGTGTAGTTCGGTTCTGGGATGAATCCCGTTCGTGGGCGGAAAGTTCTTCAGGAATGTAAAAAACGCATTTCTTGAGAAATCGATCGATAACTTCCTATTGAGGTTGTAGATTTAGGTTGTCTATTCTTAGTGTTTCCTAAAAATTGAAGGTTGGTTTCAAAATAAACTTCTTTAACGCATGAAAAAAGTCCCTGGAACTGCAGCAGGTATACAGAGAAAACAAACATTGCACTAAAAGAACAACGCGTAACTAAAAAACTTATCGGTGACGTTTAGTTGGACTAACTTAGTTCAACTGCTCATTCTTAAACCACTCTAACAACTACACGATCTTTCCGGAATGGGCCTCCCGAATAGATGGGAACCCGTTTGGGTCAAATCCGTATGAAGTTGTGTCTTCGGAGGGTTGAAATTGTTTCAACATGCATTTCATTGTGGCGGCGTCTTCAGCTATAGACAAAAAATGAAAAGCCCTACACCTTCCTGAAACACAATGGCAGTGTGCCAAAGCCGCTGGAATTTCTCCATAACGAAGGATTTTTCATTCAAAAAGGATTTCGCACGAGACTGGCTAAGAAAATGATAAATCAGTTTTGAACGATTTAGAATCTGGCATCTATTTGGTGAAAATGGAACTGTCCTGATAAATGAGCTGCGGAGTGTCGCGACTACCGACCGTCTGTTTAACTGGAGAGTTGATCAAAACGTCTCTACAGCGTCCTTATGAG